CCCCCCCCCCCCCCATCCCTTTTTAAAGCTGTCTTAACTGTCTGCCCATCTATGCCCTTCACCTTTGATTTGGAGGGGCCTGGCTTATGGTTTGTTTTGTTTTAAATCTTCAGTACTCCACACAGTGTCTTCTACTCATTCTCTTTTCATTATTTTGTTTCCTTGTAGGTATAAGGCTGAAGGCAAGCCCATTTGCACCTCAGATTATGCCAGTAGATGAACATTCCTGCTGCATTGTTTACAATTCAAACTGGATTGGACTGTTTTTTTTAATTATATGCAACTTGCTGCTCTCAGGAGGAGGATGGAACTGGGTGAACTGGACAGACTGTGAATTTTACTGAAAGATGCAATACACCTTTGTGCTTTTAATGCCCATGTTTGATGCAAGGAATGTAACTGGCAATAGAAAAGGGAGGACATGGAGAGAGGGATCAAGCAGGTGGCTTTGCTAGGTTTTTGCCTAAGTTTTTAAATGATATTGAGGCCAGTTCCTCATGGACAGACCTGTGGCTTTCCAGAACTCCAGTTATGGGAGGTGCTAGTAGAGGCAGAAGGCACAAAACTATCACAGACATTGCTGTAGAAAGCATTCGTGAAGGAAAAAGATGTGTTGCTTTGCAGATCATGGATACAGAATAAACGAGGTCTCCATTTTTTTTTTTCTGGGTTTAAAAGTGCCTAAAGCATGTCAGAGAATCTAGAGAGCCCAAACAGACTCACCTGCCTCCTTTTTTTGCAGTACCTAAACAGTATTGGGCAGTGGTTGGGGAGTAAGAATTTCCCTTCTGTTCCTCTACTTACACTCCTCTTCTCCTGCTGCATGTACTTCAAGATATGAGAAGGAAAGGAGGAGAGACCTAGGATTTACACATCTCATCTGGTGATGCTTTGGAGACCTGGTTGACTCTAGCAGTAGTTGTGAGCCAGGGTTCCATCTCTGAAATGATCGAGGACTATCACAAATTTTAAACTGGAGCAGGGGAAAGTGTAATAACAAATGCCTGCTGCCTCTTCATCTTCAATTATGAGAAGAGACACAAGTCCAGCCCTAACAGAAAGCCTTACAAATGCGTTTAAAATCAATCAGCTACTGGAACCTACACAAGCTGAGCTGCCTCAGCTGTTTCTTCATGCCCTTTGCACTACCAGTGATTGTGAATAGAACTGACTGTTTTGCTTCCCCTTCTTTATTCCCCACAGCCCCTCCCTTTTGTGAGGATTTGGGACTTTGTGGTGTTTTGTGGAATCTGGTGCCACTTTCAACAGCCTAATGTCTTAAAGTACCAGCTTTTACTACTTTTATTTAAAAAAAAAAAAAGGGGGGGGGCAGGGGGGATCCTTCTGCCCAGTTGCAGAACTGCCTCCTCATTTCTCCCCCCCACCCCCACACACTGTCCTTCATCCCAGTTCCAAATGCCCAAAACAGAAGTGGCCACCAAGATTCCCCTCTTCAAGGACAGGCCCAGAATAGAATTTGGAACTTGTCCTGTTTGTTTCACTCCAACCCACAGCTACAGGGATATGGGGAAGCCTGCTCCTTGATCCAGAGGTGCAGTTGTGAACTGGCAAGTTCAGTGCAGATAGACTATCTCCTTCAACATGCATACATTTGCAGCAATAATATTTGACACCCAATTGGAAAGTCCTGTGATGTACTCTAATGATAACAGGAGCCTGGGGTGGAGCAGACTGAGGAGGGTGGTAACTCAAGGAAACCTGGGACTGTACTTTCTATAGGACATCTGATATTCCTGCCCTTGTAAATCCTTATTGTTGAACTATTCTGTCAACTGCCTTGAACTGTGCAGGCAAGAACCTGTCATTACATCCACTACTGACCTTCTAGTCTGACCACATAGGACTATTTTGAAGATAACCTTCAGAAATCAATAATATGGTTTTTAGTTTGTCTGTTTTGTAGTTTTATTTTGAAGCCTAGTATTTCATAATTTAAAAAAAAATCAGAAGCACTGAACTTTCTACATTTTATAACATTATTTTGTATATAATGTATATTTATAATCAAAACAAAAGTGTAAATATGTTTATTACTTCTCATGTAATGTTTTTAATGTGAGGACAAAGTTTGAATTTTATTTTTTTTTTCAAACAATGAAAATATCTTCCTGCTACACTGAAGTATTGTTGTGGCTTGTGTTTACCACCCAGCTTTATTGGGGGGAGGAGGTTACTTCTACATAGCAACCACATTTTTTGTTTTCTTTTCTGCTCATCCAGTCAAGAATGGGCAAGGTTTTTCTTCCCCTACAGAACTAGTAAGGGTTTTGTGCACAGTTCTTCAGCCACATAGATTTCCTGAGATTCTGTGTTGAGTTCTACTATCTGTATGTGACCTGTGACTACAGCCAAAGGCCCTTTTGGGGTGGTTTCAACAAGTAGTGAAAAAATGGTGTAAGATAATACCCAGAGGGCTATCACCCTCTGGAAATATGCATCATAAACAAAAAAATAACTGACTCTTTTAAGACATCATGCAAGCCTAGCTGTCATGCACCTAATCCAACTGTGTGGGTGAAACAGCTCTCAAAACAGGACAAAGTTGTCACCCCATTTGGAAATTAATAATTTTTTCTTTGTTGTTTTGAAAATGCCAAAAAGTATATTAAAGTGTTATTTCCCCCCATATAACTTAAACAGATTATTGTTTTAAAAGAAAATATCTATCCCACAGAATCTTTACTGTGCTATTAAACTACTGCAAATGATGGTCAGTAAATGCAGAAAAACTAACATACAAGTGCTATTATTATCAGCAGCTTTATTTGTTTTTGCTCTCTTTTCTGCTCAGTTTCTTTCTTAGTAAAATTAGCTTTTAAATCCTTGGCTACCATTAAAAAAACATGCAAGATGGAACAAGGAAATAAAAAGCTCCCTCCCATCCCCAAACATTCACCCTGTAGAGCAAATTATGAAAAACAAGCCATTGACAAAAAGCGGAGCAGATGCTCCCTGCTTGCAGCCCTTCCTCGGCAATGTGAAATAAGCCCAACAGATGCCTCTCTTAATTGAGCGCACGGATTACATACACACACGGACTCTGTCTTGCTTAAAACAAAACACACGCAAAATCAAACAGGAAAATAGCTCTTCCTACAGCCTAAGCAAGCATAATGCAAAGCCCAACAAGACCTAGTTCTTCCTGTTCAAAATGAAACAGGAAACTGTATATGTAGACAGGAGGGAGCTGAATCCATTAAAAGCCATGGAACAGATTATGTAGCTCCAACTGTAGTAAAACAGGGACAGCACATGCCTTTATGCATTTGCACATAGGAGAGATGACAAAAAAAGGCCCTGTGCATTGGCTTACAAGGAAATCGGTGTGTAGATGTTTTGGGGAAATTTCCACACAACTTCCAGAACAGATCACAGATCCCACACTGGAAAAAAAGCGTGTGGAGGGGAGGAAGGAGAGGTTGCATTCATAGTATATATTATACAAAATGTGTGAATCCATGCACAACGCCATACCTAAGACACAGTGCCAAATAAATTAGAAGCATATCAACTAAATACATAATCTGACCTGGATTTAACCTGGCTCCTTTGGCCAAAACTTCGTCCCTGCCCCCACCACCATTGTGCACTGGCTGCTTACCTTCCTGTCACCCAAGACATGGCTGCAGCTCAGCAGTTCTCTGACAGTTGTTTGAGAAGAGCCTCCTGATCCTTCAGACTGAAGAATGTTCTGTGGGTGTGAAATATTCCCATGAATACATATAATGCCAGCACTGTAAATATAGATATGAGCTAGTTTTGATTCACCCAGTTCCTTCAATGTACTAAGAGAAATATTTCTTTAATGATAATGAATTACATTTTGCAAAATAAACTTAAAACCCCTATGGACTAATAAAGCCAAATTTGTCCCTTCGTCAATGACAACAGAGCTCTGGGTTTATCCAAAGGACTGTATTTAAACTTAGTTTCCAGTTTTTGAAGTTAAAATAGTGGATATTTTCAAAGACTTTTGGTACCAAAACCACTTTGACACCGCCTGTTTTGAGTGTTATAATAAAGCCAATCAAGTGCAAAAGTCTCCTTAAATGGATCCAGTTTCAGGATTTGGCCTTTAATCTTTTGCGTTTGAAAACAGCTGGTATGGAGGGAAACAGATGCTGGGACATACCCGTAACTACAACAGTGCCAGTGGCACTGCTACAATACACAGCAGAGCTTTGTTTATTCAAACTAAGCACAGGACATGGACATTATTTAGGTTAGTGTTGAGTATGCCTGATCATTAAAACACTGCATAGTGCAAAGACTGGGTGAAGGGGGTAACAAGGGTTCAACACCATCCAAGTGTCAGAGCACTTAACCAGTGGAAATCTTTGCTCCTCAGGGCTAAGTACAGACATTCAAAAAGCCTGGGCCTGAATTGATTCAATCTTCTATGTAGGTTAGTCTAACCTGCACAGATTGAACTAAGAAGGAAGTAAATAGAGATTTACTTTTGATTCCGGAAATGCAGGCACTTGCCTAGAGTGGCTCAGGCTAGAAGCTGGGGGGCACTAGAATGAGCCTTCCCCTCCCTTCCACAGTAGCTGGAAGGCTGGAGGGAAGCTGAGCTGAGCTGGAGTGGGGGGGTGGCCTGCCGGTGGGAGGCCACCCCCCCCACCCCAGGGAAGGGAGAAGGAGCCCAGCCAGGTTTGTCCCTGAGCATCAGCAGGTGTGGCCAGCCGGTGGCCCGGAGGAGTGAGAAGGGAGGAAAAGCCAGACAGATCCCAGTTGGTGTCCTGTGCCAGTGAGAAAAGGGAGGTGGGGGGGTTAATCCCCTGCCCTCCCCCATTCACCTGAGGCACTGCCAGCTGCCCACACCTCCCGTCACCCAAACCATGAGCAGGGGTGGAAAAACAGGCAGACTTCGGCTGGGGTCCCATGCCAGTGGGAGAAGGAAGGCAGGGGGGTTTAATCCCCCTCCTTCCCCTGTGCCTGCTGTTCCATATCCCAGCCCCCTCCACTCTAGTGGGAAAGAGTCTGGCAGAGGCTACTCTACCTCTGCCAGACAGACCAGGCTCTGTCCCCAGCTAGATTTTCTAACCCCACCCCTTTGTCAACCAGCCCTGACTGCTCCAGCTAGAGAGCAGAAGGACGAAGGATGGGGCCAACCCTGCTCTGCTTGAGCAGACAGCCCAGCCCAGCCTTGGGCTGCAAAGCATCCTGGGGGAACGGTGATTTAGCTTGAACCAGAAAGGGGTCTGGGACAGAAGTTCCATAAACCAGTTTGACCTAAATCAGTTAAGTCTGATACTACATTCAACCAGGCTTATCTTAAACCAGTTTTGGCCATTTTGAAATGGGTTTATGTGCACTGAACTTCTGTTCTGTTACAGGTTTAAACCAGTTTCTGATCACCAAGGATCCTGATTTTCTCTGGAAAAAAAAAATATCCCCAATTTTTGGATTAAAAAAAGTAACCCAAAATCTATATTTCTCCATGATTAAAATAAAACACCGCTAATATAGATATGAAAAATGTGCATTTTGGGTTACTTTTTTAAATCTGAAAATTGGGGATTTTTTTTTTATCAGAGAAAACCAGGATCCCTGTTGATCACGTAAACCAGTTTATGTATAACTCCTGTCCCTAGTCTAGAGTGTTATGGCAAGAGGGAAAGGTGATTACTGGGAAAGCATAGGGATCTAATTTGGGTAAAATCCTTTTCACATATCATGGTGATTTCTCAGGGTTTTTTTGTTTGTTAAAACAAGGAAAACCTAGAAAGTGACTAAAGATCCATGATATAAGGGCTAAATCGAAAGCTGGTACAATCTATACCTTTATTTGCCTATCATATTCCTTTCCTTACCTAGCTTTTATGATTAGTATATACCTATCAGTCTCACACAGATGATAAGACACTCCCACTGAAGTTTGCTCACCATCCAATCTCCACATGCAAAGATGTGGCATAACTCTGTGGCCCTTTGCCATACCCTCTGCTTTTATGACCTCCATTTTATCACGTCTCTGGAGCACCAGTGAAGACTGTCCTCTCACCCACACACAGCACTTTCAGTTTTACTAACCAAGATCCTAACAGAGGCTTGGAAAAGGCCTGGAGCCCTAATGGCAGGTCGTGATGCTTGGAGAACAGGCCCCTTCCCCTCTTCAGCACTGTGCTGCTTTGTCTGCTTGGAACAGCAACCCACCTCTTGTCCAGACAACATGCTAACTCAGATCCATAAAACTGCATTTAGTCATCCTCCCCATATGGGTGTCTCACCACCAACACCGCTCCCCATTTCTACACTGCTCCCTCATGCCCCCCTCCCTTTATCTTGTCTGTTACACTATAGGTCATCAGGGTTGGGACTTTGCCTTACCTACTTTGTAAAGCACTGTGTGCCTTCATGGTGCTACATAAAAATGCCAGAGGAAAAATTAAGGTGATGGGAATGACTCTTTGCCCCTAACATCCTCATAGCAACCATCAACACTGGAAAGATGTTTTACTCTGTGGACAGCTGAGACTTCCCTTCCACTTTGTCGTTCAGCTTTTGAGAAGTATGAGCGAGAGAGACACAAAGCTGCTTTGCTTAGGAGGATCATTCACGAGTTAGTCCGACAAGGTGAAATTCACCTTTCTGAAGAGGCCAGCACTATGGCTATGCAACCACCTAATTCCCACATAAGCTAAGTGGTGTTTAGGCTTTGTGTGGCTCCCTGCATGGGGTGAACTTCACCCATCAGTATGAGGAATCCACTGTAATTAAAGATATCTTTGCCAGAAACAAGTGCTTAAAAATAAATCCTACCTTTTGGATTTCTACCCCATTATCCTCTCCCCACCTCAGATTGGGTCATATAGCATAACTAAATAGTGTCTGTGTCAGTCTCAGTGTAAATGGGAAGAAAACTGGCAGCCAGTCCAGACACACCTTAAGAAAACAGAACCCCAGACACAAAGAAGATCTCTGGGCAACTTTATCTGAGCAAATGCACCAGCCCTGACAGCTCTTAATTATCTCCTGCACCTGCTCGCCACAGCTTTAATAGCTTCACCAGATCAGAGCTGACTTATCCTGCTCTGCTGTTCAAACAGCCTGATGCCTTCATGTCAGTCCAGAACAACAGCACGATGTCCCCAGCCATGAAAGCCAGGGTCA